ACTTTGCTATTTTTGTATTCGAATACAGGCACTCTCCTTCCAGTAAATGGCTGGTTCGTCTTGCTCAGATCCAGCCTCTAGCCTGCTCCAACACCTCACTGCCTGGTGGCCTGTGAGCAGTGTGGAAAGGAGCCTGCGTAGCCTCATGCACAGAGGGCAGGGGTTGAGATGAGGTTAACTGGCCCCTCCTTTGCCCAGGCCATGAGGCTCAACGTTTCTCAGTCACTGGGGAGCTAATGGCAGATCTCCCCTTTGCCTCTGAAAGCTAAGACTGAGCTCTGCTAATGTGTTACACTGCAGGCTAATTCCACGAATCTCTCACTTCCGGCATGCTCAGCTCTAGATAAACTGAACAAGCTGGAGAAGCGCCCTGCTTTAGTAAAGCTCCTTAAAATGAACCGTTCCTCTTTTGTGGCTTTTCAAAGCGGAGGTGTCCGTGCAGTTCCTCTGGTAGCGGTCGGCTCTCGCCCTGGGACGGGAAACAGGGAACAGCCAACGTTCCAGCTGCCCCGTCCGTCTGCTGGAGGGAGCTCGATCAAGTCATTTCAGGCACTAATTTGCAGTGATTATCAAGGCTTGATCTGACCGGTGTGTAGATGAGGATGGAAGTTGTATGCAGGCCTGGGTGTTGGAAAACAATCTTTGCCTCTCCATCATTCTGCAGCCAAGCAGCATAATTTACTCTGCCAAAAGGCAGAAGATTGATTTCACATCACACACACTGAGTGCTTAGAATTTATTAAAATAATAGTAAGGAGCTTGGCATCCTGGGAGATTAATACGGCACCATCCATCTGATCGTTCAGGAGCTCGGCACATGCTAAGCCTTTCTGCGGCACTGTGGTCAGAGAGAAAGCGCATTGACCCAGCAGTGTGTTCATCCCGCAGCGAGGAGAGTCAAAGCGCTCGGTGTGGACTGGAGTGTAGTGAACACGCTCTGATACTCTTGGGTTTAGGCTATGGCCGTCGGGGAGAGCAAAGGATGCCACCCTGTGCTGTTGTTTCCCCCTCCCCCACCCCCCGGTCATAGGTAGCCACCTTACAGTGGGGTCTGCAGCTTAATCAGCCTGTTTTGGCACATTTCCTGTGGGGTGGGCCTTGCTCACGTAAACACGATTGTCCTTCAGCCTGTGCCCCTGCGCACCCTTCCTACCTTTGCAATCGGCTCCAGGCTTGAACACAGTTGTCATTTTACGGGACCCTGCGCCATTCACAAGTGAAAAGCTCGGTTGGGTAAATGCAGCAACGCAGTTGAAGCTGTGTGCTTGGTAGCTGTACGGTCATGCTTTTAATTACCATTAAAATAATTGGCACGGTGGCTACTGGGAGACTGAGAGAAGATCAGAGGCTCAAGGCTGTTTCTCCCCATGCCTCGGGGGTGCGAGCAGCTTTCCGTGTCTGTATAATTAAAAGCTACAATCTTTCATGTGCACAATAAAGAGGATGGGGAGGTAGGGAGACTCTGGTCCGTCTGCATTTTATTACTTATAATCAGTGCCCCATCTCTCTTCTCCACAAGGTCCCGGAGTCAAGAATGTCAGTCACGCTGCTGTCTCTCCCAGCCTGTGCGCTCTCAAAGTGCTTCTCAGAACTTTATTCACTCTAGGACACCGTGCAGGATTATGTCCCGCCTAGGGATGTAAGATCTCGTTTACCCAGTTAACCAATTGCGTGGGATCCCCCAGGCGGGGCCGCTGGTTACCAATAAGCATCACCCACCAAGAGTGATACTTACCGTGTAACTGGTTAACTGCTCACATCCCTAGTCCTCAAGAGAACTTAAATTGAACCCCACAGTTCACTTGCATTTCTCCATCTTCCTTTCTAAACCACCTTCACTGACAAGTCTTATCAGGTGTCACCTCAAACAGTACTCTGAGCTTTTTCTGTTTTTTCCTGCTTTGCCATCGTGTCCCCGGTTTGTAAAACCTCCTCCCCGCTTATCCTTTCGCATCCAGTTCGAGATCCTTGGCCTCACTGGGAAAGCTCAGCTCTACACTTTGGCCTTACTCAACCCTTCGCCTCCTCCCTCCCATTCAGAATTGTCTCGCCTATTGTACAAGAAATACACACGCTTCTCCTTCAGGCACCTGCTACTTGCTCACTTCTCTCAGCCGTCTGCCTCTGACTGTGTGTGTAAAAATCTGTAACAATGCCAGATTAACCACTGTTGGTTACCTCCTTGCCCATATTTAGATTGCAAACTCTTCAGGATCAGAATGTGTCTAAGTAGTCAGTACTCACTTGGTACAGAACATTAGATGTCAGTGCTGACCCAGTTACTTGGCTAGACAGTGACTAGTCATTTTACAGCTAAGGGAACTGGACACACATTTCACAATTTGCCATGAACATATTGCAGATGGCAGAGAATGCTGGAGTTGACACTTGGATCCAGGGCTCTTTGCGTTCAAACCGTCCCATTCTATTTCCATGTGGTTATTTTTTCCCTTTCCTTTCCAGCTACGGGAGCTGGTCAGCATGTGCATATACCCTGATCCAGACCAGAGACCCGACATTGGCTATGTGCACCAAATAGCAAAACAGATGCATGTTTGGACCTCCAGCACTTGAACCATCTGCAGACACTCTCTAAGAAAAGCCAGCGCAGCTTAGTCTTACTTGAATTTTTATTTCTCAGATGAAACCGACCGGTGCCTAGTCAAACTCAAGTGAGAGAGTTGAGCACTCGTAGCAAGAGGCTCCATTATTTCTGCAGGTTATTTGACAAGGACTCTTACCAGGTGGTCATGCTTTAAAGTGAAGATTCTGTGAGGTATTGCAAGCCTTTTTTTTAAAAAAAGCCAATAACATGTTACAGATGTAGATCATTTAAGGGTCCTTTCTTAAAACTGTTGTGTGTAATCTAGACTAGATTATATTAACAAGGGTGTCTCATCGAGCCTTTGACACACCCCCTTATCTTAACTGTAATGTGAAAATATTGAAATAATTCCTTCAGTGAAATCACTTTCTACTAATGTAAGAATTGCAGTAGATTTGTGTAATTTGTATAACTGCTACTTTGCCTCTTCTGCACATGGTTAATAGCAATTTCAGTTTAGTTCATATATTTTAAAAGCATTCAGCTATTTGTTTAATCCCTGCCTTTTTAAAAACAGGAAGGGGGAAATACTTGTTTGAAGATTTTTTTTTAACTGAAAATTTAGAGTGAATATTTTGCTGATGCATTTATCTGTTAACTTGACTATAAACAATGAGGTGAGTTCTAGTATATACCTGAAAAGCATTGCTTCTGTAAGCAATTTATCTTTATAAATGTGTTTTCCCCTTTGGCATTAATCTTGTTAGGCTAAAAGTCTTCATTATAAAACCAGTGTTACTCTAAACCAATTCTATTTTGGGGAAGATGCTTTTATCAAATCCAACGGTACTTTAGCCAGGCATAAATAAAATGTAAGCAAAGCAGTGTTTTAAAACCTCTTCAAATGATATTTAGCATGAAATAAGACCAATGCTTTGTGAAATTTTAAATAAGGATCAGCCCATAGCTATTTAACTGTGAAAGCTAATTTATGAAATGTGAATTTTTGTAACAAACTCAAGCTGATTTGAAGGAGACATCTTGTTTAAGACGATTGTTTTAAAGACCTAACATTTTTCAGTGAACTAAATTCATTCATTGAATCAATGATGTTTCTTCATTAGTGACAATGAAAATATTCACTGCTTTAGAAACCAAATTTGCGGAGTCACGTTCAAGTGCTTCCATTTCACCTACGTGTTCAGGGGAACTGCTGCAGTTAACATTCTCAAAGGACAACATCCAGGGGAAATAAACATGTACTGTTAGTGTTTCTTCTGCGTGAGCTTGTGTCCATTGCTATAATGTATGTTTGTGGGTGACAGTTGTTCAAGTGTTTAAACACAGCCTGTGACACTTTTTTTAAAAAAGTCCTTGGTCTCTAGGAAATAAAATGAGGGTAAGAGGATTAAATACATGTTTATGCTTTGAATGGATTTTTGAAACCTAGTTCTTTCTATTTTAAGGAAAACTACAGTGCCAAGTTAAACTCTTTCCACTGAATTTCAAAGTATTTGGCCAAGGTGTTAAACCTAAAGCTATGAATTTGCTGTGAATGATGCTGGTATCACTTCATAGACGATGCCATTTTACTGAGATTTCCTGCTAGGAAGTCCAGGCTGTTGATCTCGTAGGGGAGCTGTGATATTCAGCTCAGCCATTCCCAATGCTAACCTGTTCAGAAAGTATCATGAAACCAGATTTTTATTATATAATAAAGATCGTCACCTTTGTACTGCAGGTTTCCCTTAAACCACAGCAGCAACTGCACATCATAGCCATGGTTGTGCAATGCCTCTGTTGGTGTAATGGAGAAGAGGAGTTCTTTGGCTGTCAGGAAGACTCAAATTACTTGAGAATTTTGATAAGTCTAGTCACTTCCTTGCAACATAAGATCTATTAGTGCTTAAGTAAATGTATTTTGGAAGGTAAATTTTTGCAAATGTGCATTTTTAGATAAAACAATGATTTACAAAATAAATAACTTCCTTTGTAAAAATGAGTCCAGTGTTAAGGAGCATCATTTTGTTATGACTGAGTCAAGTCAAAGTGTTTATCCCCCCCCATCTATGTTAATCTTGCATCAAGCTCAGCTTATTAGGAAATGCACTAAAATTACAGTTTCAATTTTTCTAACAGCTAACCTCTGGCCTGTTGTATAAGTTCAAGGCTATACTGACTTTGTATTTCCAAGGAAAATTACCCCATCCACTGATACCAATTCACATCAGTTTTGTGTTGAGATACAAAAGCCCCTGAACTTAGTAGTAGCGGGTTTTCCACTAGGCCTCTGACTACCCAAAGTACATCTGGCTGAATGTGTGCTTCTGACCTCTGCCACATGAAATGTCACTCAATAGCTAACACACAACAACCTTTCAGAGAACATGGAGGAGGTTGTTGGAGTTTAGCTGATTTACCATTCCTTACTTACAGAACGAATCAACACGCTACAAACTGGTCAGACATTTATTTGATATACTGAGTTTTTTCATGCAGGAAGGCTTCTAACAAACCAGCCATGGCTAATGTAATTCTGGGTCACTAGAGTTCAGTATACTACTTCAGGAAGTGTCCATTGTTTGTACTGTTTCGTCCACCACTTCAACCTCCAGGAGAGCCACGTTTTCTGTGAGAACAGCTGTAGTTCCTTTTTCACACCTGTATCTACCATACCTGTTGACAAAATAATAAAGGAAAGTTACAGAGCAGTTCTCCCCACATAGGTTGAACCCAAACAAACTGAATATCAAGTTAAGATTCAGACAATGTTTAAAAGGTGTATTCTTTGAAGTGAAGTGCTACAGGAAACTCCTTACTATTTAAATGGAGAATCAGCCTTAGACAAGCCAGAAGCAAGTAATCTTAAAAGCATAATTTTAAAAGTAACTGCAACAGTGACATTTTCCTGAATGTTGCATTTTGTAAGATGAGCACACAGTTGCAGGTGGTTTTAGCACTGTCCCTGAACAGAGCAGTTCATAGTAACCAGTAAAACAGTCTGCTAACATCTCACTGCACAAACATGTTAATTTTATTGTAGAATGCCAAAGTTGTAATCTACAACCATTCAGCAGTCCTGAAAGACTAAGTCAGTGACTGCATGTTACTTGCCACATTTGATTTTAACCTGGAAGCTGCACATACATATTATGATTCCATTATGGAATTCAAATGATTTGAGTGACTCTATGGAATTCTCGCCTGAACAAGGCCCAGCTCAGAGGGAATTCATAAAATGTCATCTCCCAGGCAGGTTTATAATGGAAATTCTACCACGCGAGCTGTGCGACTCGCAGAGTATCTCAATGCTGGGCTGCCTGGGTCTGTGCTTTCTGCCTAATGTCTCCTTTAAAGACAGGTGATTTTTTTTTTAAATTTCCATTCCACTATTTCTGCACTAGGATGTAAAATTGCACAACTGCTTACACCTTGTGTAAATATGTGTATTGCAAAACCCTTTCACTGCCTGTGGGTGACTCACTGACTAGTTAGCCGTTAACTTTCAGCTGGTCTCTTTCCCAACTAACTGCGCTTACTTTGGAATTTATATCCCTACCAGTTTGTCACTTATGATAGTCGTGAAAACGGTGCCCTGCAGAATCACACTTAGATCAGGTCGGTGCTTAATTTCTTGGATGCTTGAGC